CCCCGGGGCAAACAGCCACGCTCCCCCCCCCCGCAGTTTCCTGCCCGTGTGACCGGAGCCATTATTGGGCAACCACTTTGCTTCCTAAGTGGCTTCCAGGAGCCTCCTTAGATGTCCATTGCCTTTGTGTCTGCTTCTGAGCTTCCTGAGGCATCTGGCTAGCTTCTCTGGTGTTGCCAACTTCTGTCTGGGTAAAACGTTGAAAATCACTGTGTAACAACAAAAACAAAGCTCACAATTCTAAAATACTGCTATAACTCCATTAATTAATTAAATCGTCTCTGTAACATTGGACATTTCTTCAAGATTGAATATTGTTATATTTATCTGTATACTCTATACCACTTGTTAGTGCACTATAGTAATCAGGTTACGTTAGGGTCTTTATTGTATATCATAAGTATCTGATTGAATTAATTAATGAAGTTATAGTAGTACATTAGAACGGTGTGCTTTGCTTTTGTTGTTACACGGTGATTTTCCACGTCTTATTCAAGCTTGCTGGGTTTCCCATGTGTTTATTGCAACTTCTGGGTGGAGCCTGGAAATCTCCTAGAATTACATCTCCAGATGACAGAGATCAATTCCCTCGGGGAAAATAGCTGCTTTGGGGGGTGGGCTCTATGGTATTATATCCTGCTGCGGTCCCTCCCCAAATCTCACACATTCCAGTCTTCACCCACAAATCTCCAGGAACTTCCCAGCCTGGATTTGGCGACCGGTGGGTACTAAAATGCCTGGTCTTAACATTATGGCCCCAGATGTCGGTGGCCTGAAGATGCAAGTGTATATTTTCCTTATGAAGTTACCACACATCTAAGGAGTTTACTCAATGCTTAAAAGGCCTTAGGCGATTTCACATGCAGCGGGAGGTCTTTTCCTGATGACACACATCTTGAGAAAGCAAGGAACATAGAAACAGACCTTTCGTCAGAAAGCTTTATTATTATTTTTTCCCCAGCAAACTGAAAATGATTATTAATAAATACCCAAACTATCATAAGTTGTCACTGACTGAATAACTATTAATGGCTGGGAAAACAACTTCTCTTAAGTTCAAGAAGGCTGTGCGCAGTTTATTTATTTAAAGTGAAGCATGCACAAGGAAAAACATATTTATTTTGTTTACCAGTTACCCGGTCCCTGTGTACACATGGCTCTGGGTGATGTACAACAAAAGTTAAAACATCAAGTAAAACTAGTTAAAGTTAATAAATAACATTCATTGCATTCTTAAAATAATCTCAAGATGGTGTTACTGATCTGTTCTTAAACCCATTCTGGACTGTGCTGCTGCCTTGTAGGTGGGTTAAAGAGGAGGCAGAAATGGAAGACAATGGGAGAGCAGGGGAGGGTGCCAGCTGTGGTGGAAAACCATTGCTGTCCTCAACCAAAACGTAAAGAGACACCGTGTCAGAACAAAGCACACTCTACTAATATGCACTTGTGTCTTCATATATTGATTTAAATACAATAGAGACCGAAAACATAACAGCCTGGTGCATCTCTCATCATTTACGACTGTTGCAACCTCCATCAGTCTTTTATCAGGAGCAAGATAGTCTACAGCACTGGAATAGGTCTCTGTAGCTGTGGACTTTTCTATTAGTAGATATATTTATTATTATTATTATTATTAATAATATTAATATTTATATTTATATTATTATTATTAATAGTAATATTTATACCCCGCCCAACCCGCGAGCATGCTCAGGGCGGCTAACAAAACGGTACAATGTACCTGGTTGACATACATATAACTTAAAAACTCTATAAAAGCTCATAACAATTACTTTAAAACATAAGTTACAGTTAACAAAGTGCAAACAGTATTAGATGGCGTGCTTCCAGATCTCGTTCTGTGTTATTCCACCGCTCATCATCCTCGCGCCGGAAGGCCTAGCGATACGTCAGGACCAAGTCTAAGATCCGAGCAATCGCTAGGATCGTTGGTGGTAACAGTAGTGGCGGCTCCTATTGAAAGGCCTGGTGGAAGAGCTCCGTCTTGCAGGCCCTGCGGAACTGTATATAATGTTCTTTAGGTTTTTGTATTATCATGAATATGTATAGGATACACTAGGGTCTCTAGTGTATTTAAATCAATATATGAAGACACAAGTGCATATTAGTAGAGTGTGTTTTGTTCTGACACGGTGTTTCTTTACTTTTGTCTAACTTTGCCATGTTTCCCGTGTGTTTGTTGCTAGTCCTCAACCAAAAGCCTGTTGGAACATCTCTGCCTTAGAGGCCCTGCGGAATGGCATTAAGTCCCACAGGACCCTGGTGGTATTTGGCAGAAAGTTTCACCAGGTTGGAGCCCTCACTGGATTTAGAAGGGTATAACTAAATGTTTACAGCTCAGAGGTTCACCCTGGACAGTGGTTTAATGCAGAGGTCATTTCGGGGGGGAACGCGTTCCCCCGGGTGAGGTGCAGGGGGGCGGGGCACATGACGAAGCCCCTGCCCCCTGCTTCCGGCTGCCCCGCTTTCAGCCCTCATTCAGCCAGGAGGAGGCAGGAGAAGAGGGAGGGTAAGTTGCTTCCTCCCCGCCTCTCCCCACCCCTGCCTGCCTGGGGCCAGGGAGAGCCTTGACGGGGCTTCCTCGCACTCCCGCTGGCCTTGCAGGTCCACCGCCGGGCCCCTGATGTCAGGGGGTGTGGCATATGCTAATGAGTTATGCTAATGAGTTCCCCTAGCTCTTTTTCTACGAAATGACCCCTGGTTTAATGTCACATCAACAGAAGAGGTGGGATAAGTCAAAACACTCTCACTGAATTCCAAAGAAGGCAAAAATACCCCCCCCCCCGCATCTTCTAGTGCCCCATCTATGCAGCCATGGTCTTTATGGAGCAGGCAGATGCAGACTTCAAAAGGCACCAAAAACCTTGTCCAATTTATTGGGAGTATTCATCTTGGGGAATGAAGATGGAATAAAAATCAAATATCAGAAAATTGCACACGTCCAGCTTCCTGAGTTATGCAACCTGTTGCTTCATAGGTCATGATAAAAATATGTAACAGCAACTGTTTATGTCCTTCAATATTTGAATATTTGAATAGACTACAGCTCTGAATTCTAGGTTCCTAGCAAGCAGTTGCTTTTCACTGACCTGAAATCCAGGGCAGTTTCCCAACAGAAGGTGAAATAGTGGAAGGTTTGTGATCAAATCTCCTGAATAAGAAAAAAAATTAAAAGCAGTCATGGGGGGGTATGCATTGGGGTCATGGAACTGGGGAGAGGAGCTGAGTTTGGAGGGGGTGACTTCCTTTCCCCCTCATTTGTAGGGACTGTTCATATTTGGAACTCCATTTATACTAAAAACGTATTAAGGCTGAGTCTACTTTCATGAAACACGTCTGTTGCCATAAGCAGCCCTACTCAGACAGCAACAGAATGCAAGTCATCTTTTTTTAAGTGTAAATTATTTTGCTATTTTTGTGTCATATCCACTAGGAAAATGGAAATTCCTATGTAGGTTAGTAAAATACATTCGTGACTTTTTTTTTTTAACCTACATAGTTTAATAGCTAAGTAGTTTGAGTAAACAGCTTTGCCAATACACGGGCCCGCCAATCAGGGAATTGCTTAAAAAACTCCGAAGGGATCATGTCTTCTCCGGGAGCTGCCTACTTGGTATTGGTTGTTGTTTAAGGTGGGCGTGGTTTTTACAAGTATAAATTGGTTCCTTTTGAGCCTGTGCCTTTGGTTCGGAAGTTCAATAAAGAAGTACGTTATTATGACAGAGCTGCCTTGTCTCAATACTTAATAAAGTTCTTCCCATTGAGATCTAGCAAAAGCAAACTTCTTATGAAACAAGTTTTAAAATGTTATTGTATAGTATTTCGACTCAGTCTCACCGTACGGTATTTTATCGTGTACAGTTTTTTTTAGTGTTAACCTCTTGCAATGGCCATTGGCAGGGCTATTTTTGGGCAGGAACGCACAGGAACGGAGTTCCGGCTGGCTCCCAAGTTGGCCACGCCCAGCAGGAACTCATTAGCATAATAGGCCACACCCAACAGCAGGAACTCATGAGGATTGGCTACATTAGGGGTGTGTGGCCTAACATGCAAAGGAGTTCCTGCTACAAAAAAAGGCCCTGGGTTTTGACAACAAACAAGGTAAACAGAATAAGAAGCAAAAGGTGGGTGTGGCTGGATAACCACACTTCTGGTAACATGGGGGTGTAGCCTAATGTGCTAATGAGCTGTGCTGTCAGGGGTGTGGCCCAATATGCTAATGAGTTCCTGCTGTTGGGTGTGGCCTATTATGCTAATGAATTCCTTTTTTTTCCTGCTGGGCTTTTTCTACAAAAAGAGCCCTGGCCCATTGGCCCTGTGCAGTAAAACTGAACTGAACTAGCAAAGTAGTTAAAATAAATAAATCCTGCCGATCCATTCTACTAATGGCAGCACAAAGCGTCTTTTGCTGATGCAAGCTGCCCTTTTGCTGACAGAGGAGATTTCTGCATTGGGGAAACCATTAGCAAAATGGCTCTATGTGGTCCAACCCTATTAACATAATGCAATGTCAGTAGGGCCCTTGGTGCCTATAGCTGTTGTCCCTCTGATACAGAGAACGTCTGAACTTAAGGTTTTTAGCTCTGGTTTGGGAAGTATCTGGAGATTTGGGGAGAGAGAGCCTGGGGGAGGGTGGGGCTGGGGGTGGGACTTCAGCAGGGTATAATGCCATAGAGTCTACATTTCAAAGCAGCCGTTTTTTTCCAGGGGAACTGATCTCGGTTGTCCGGAGATCAATTGTAATAGTGGAAGATCTTTGGCAACTCTATCTGAATTTAATTTAAGCAAAACCCTTAAATTGAATCTCCGCTGCCATACATGTGATTTTTATTTATTTATTTTTTATTTATTTGCTTGGCCGTAAGCCATCTAACTTTCATAACGTTCCTCATATCCCTACAGGAGATAACGACAGCTGATGAAGGGGAGAGCACATTGGACTGATCATGTCCGAAAAAATCAGAAGGTTATCGCGGATGCTGCTGGAATGTCAGAACAATGACAAACTGTGCTGTAAGGATGGCGCGCGCATTATCTATGGAGAAATCTTTCGTGCTGAGACAGAAATAATTAATATTTTATAGACGACGCTTCTCTGGCTTGGCCAGGATTGGCTAGCAGCTGCCCTTAACCTGCTTTTACTAGTTTGCGTCTCATTTTCTGCCTCATTTGTTCCAGCTCCGCTCAACATACACTTCCAAATAACCTTTGAATATAAAGTGAACACCATTCAATTGGTTCATTACAAAAAACAAAAAAACTGGGGGGGAAACTGTCAAAGGTTTAACTAAATATGCCCTGACCTGGATAGCCCGGGCAAACCCAATCTCATCAGATCTTGGAAGCTAAGCAGAGGGGACCCTGGCAAGTACTTGGATGGGAGACCTCCAAGGGATACCAGGGCCGGGGCACAGAGACAGGCAGTAGTAAGCCACCTCTCTGAAATGTCCAAGCCCCACTAGGAGTCACCAGAAGTCAACTATGACTTCCAGGCATACACACACATATACATATACACACACACATACACACAAAAAGTTTAAAGATAAAGAACCAAGTCATTGCAAACTCAAGCCAAGTGTAGTCTTCAGGTTACAATTTGACCTTAATTAACACAAGCGTTTTCAAATCTAACGTTTAAGAAGACTGATTAACCTTTTTAAGTCGACTGTGTTTCGAATCAATGAATCTTCATCAGTGAAAACAGCACATAGCAAAAATACATAGAGTTTAAAAACATTCATCGAGTTTAAAAGCATCCACATTCAACTTTCTGTGCAAGTAAAAAGAATATAATTACAGTTAAATCCTCAGATGAACAAACAAGTTAAAATGATTAAAAAAATAAGATTAAGAACTTGCCCAAATAACCTGAGACTCTGCAAAAGGCCGATTTCTCTCCCCCCCCCCGCCACCTAGTCACACAGCTGACTTATGGCGACCCGGTTGGATTTTCAAGGCAAGAGACATCCACAGGTGATTTGCCATTGCCTGACTCTGCATACCTTCGTGGTGGTTTTCTATCCAAATACTAGCCAGGGCTGACCCTGCTCAGCTTCCAAGATCTGATGAGATCGGGCTAGGTCAATAGGAGGTTTTATTTTTCTTGGGCCCATCCCACTATGAGTTTTGCAAAAAAAAAATTGCTGGCTGCAAATACACTGGTTTTTTCCTCCCTTTTTTGCCTTCGGCAATGAGATCTTTAATAATCTTACAGAGAGTTTGAAGAGTTTTAAACAGCCACGATGGTGTTTAGTAATTGGATGTCTAGTGATTACATTTTAAATTATACCTGTATGGGGATTACTATAAAATAACCCTTTGTCCAAAAAGTTGCTATTTATATTTTTGGGGTCATATCCTATCTGCTGTTTGCAGATATTTTACAAGGAACAGGCCATCTCTCTTCTTTATAACTTGTATTAAATGTTAGATTCGAAAAAGTCTGTGTTAATTATGCTCAGATTGTCATCTACATACTACGCTTCTTGCCTGAGAAACTTGAGTTTGTAACCACTCTATTGTGTCTATATATTTAGGTCATCTTTTAATAGTTTTTTCCCCTTCAGTTTCAGTTTTCCCCCTGTTTTGGATTAGTCAGGGGCATTCGTTTTTTGTTTCCATAGATATTGATGAACTAAGGAGGAGGAGGATTTAAAACATTTCTAGTGGGAAGACATACTTTGTCACGTACAAATGAGAAGAAGGTCCGTCAGCACTGATACCAAGATCAGAGGTTAGGAGGGGTGCTACAAAGAAGGGCCAGTTGGAGTCCAGATGCAGAGGTACAAGGGAAAACATAATCAGCTTGATTAGAGCTGGGAGGTACACACAGAGGTAGAAAATGCAGATAGCGAGCTATCCGTATCTCCCAAGTCTAATCAAGCTGATTATGTTTGGCGTGATATTTCTGCATCCTGACTCCATGTGGACTTTCTTTGTAACACCCCTCCCAGCTTCTGACCTGGGTGTAAGAACTGGTATAAGTTCATTCGCATTTTATCTTATGAAGCGAGCCTTGACTCACGAAAACGTACACCCTGGAAACAGCGTTCCCTCTAAGCTGAGTTAGTGTGAGCTGGCTCACAGTTTTTTAGCCTCTGGCTCACACATATTTGTTTTAGCTCAGGAAGGGACGGCTCCAGAGCAAACTAATTTTGCAGCAGCCAAGTCGCTCGCTCACAACTCTAATGCCAGTCGCTCACAAAGTAGGATTTGGTGTAGTGGTTAAGTGCACGGACTCTAATCTGGAAGAACCGGGTTTGATTCCCCACTCCTCTACTTGCACCTGGCTGGATGGCCTTGGGCAAGCCGTAGCTCTGATAAGAGCTGTTCTTGAAAAAGAGCAGTTTCTGTCAGTAGCTCTCTGAGCCCCGCCTACCTCACAGGGTGTCTGTTGTGGGGAGGGGAAGGAAAGGAGTTTGTAAGCCACTCTGAGACACCTTGGGGTAGTGAAGGACAGGGTATAAATCCAATCTCTTCTCTTCTTCTTTGTTCACAAGACTGCACAGGCTTAGAGGGAACATTGCCTGGAAAGTGTTGTTGGTCTTTAAGGTGCTCCTGGACTCAAATGTAGTTTTGAGGACCAAGAGTTGTCTATGGTGGAGGTGGAAAGTGCCGTCAAGTTGCAGCCCCGACTTATGGTGACCCCATAGGGGGGTTTCCAAGGGAGAAGACACTCAGGAGTGGTTTGCCATTGCCTGCCTCTGTGTAGGGACCCTGGAGACTTCCTTGGTGGTCACCGATCCAAGTACTAACAGGGGCCAGACCTGCTTGGCTTCTGAGATCTAACCGGATCGGTCTAGCCTGGTCCAGCTCAGGGCAAGAGCCATCTATACTGCAGATCAGGGCTTTTTTCCCCCTGGGGGAGCGCACCGGAACAGAGTTCCGGAACCGACAAAATTCTTTAAAAAAATGTTTTAAAGTTCATGAGTTTTCAGTTTACAGATTGAAAACTTCATTTCCCTCTTGAAAGTTCCGGCAGCTCTTAAAAAAAAAAAAAGCCCTGCTGCAGATCTAATTAAAAGACCATTTCCCACCCACCCCTTGTCCCCTTGCAACAACGTGGCTAGAAATGCTACAGACAGGTGCTGATTGCAGACACAAATAGCAACGGGAAGAAATAACTCTGTGCTGCAAGAAATGCTGCTTGTGATCAGATGAGCATTAACTATTCTAACTCCTTTGTCATTTGCCACTTCCTTTGACAGTCATACGGGAGAATCAGGCTGAAGTAATAGTCATCCCAGCCCTCTTGGTGGGTGTATTTGTCATTCTCTTAAGTGTCATACTCTGGCTCTATTGCCGCAACTGGAAGATAAAGCAGCAGAACATTTTAGAATCTAAAGAGAAAGGTAAGGACAGCTAAGGTGCAGGGCTGCCAAGTTGTTTGGTCTCAAAATCCGAGACTCAAGAAGTGGAGAAAGGGAGCCATGTGGCCTCCTAGTGGAACTAGGAACTGGGGTGGGGGCTGAGGGTGGTTTTATTGGGTCAGCAGGACGAACCTGGCTCTGCCTGGTACTTCAGGATCAGAATAGAGTTGCCAGCTCTGGGTTGGAAAATACCCGCAGATTTTGGGGGTGGAGCCTGGAGAGGGCGGGCCTCGGGGAGGGGAGGATCCTCAGCAGGGTACGCTGCCATGGAGTCCACCCTCCAAAGCAGCCATATTGTCCAGGGGATACAGACAAACACACACTGTGGTATGGTGGCTAACACATTTAGTAAAATGTTTTACAATCAATATATAAATCTTATGCCACGTTATAGAGAAGTACATCCTTCTAATATTACAAAGAGAAGTCCATCCTCATGATGTTGCATTCTCATGATGTTACTACAAGCACCCGGATGTAAGCTCGTTTAGTCAAAGTCTTCCTCAGGAGTATTCCTATTGTCTTCAAAGTTATCGGCCTCTTGTTACAATTCAGTGTTTATATTGGGAACAAGCCAGTCCTGAACCTCTTCTCTAAACAGATGTATTTATTTATTTATAAATGCAAAAGCCTTCTAAATTTGGCTGGCAAAATGCTCTCTGCAAAACTCAGGAATGATTTTATTTTCTTCAAAATTGTCATCCTCTTAATGTGCTAAGTGTTCATATCCTCTTAAGTGTCTATATTAGGAGCAAGCCAGTCCTGAACCTCTGCTCTAAACAGATGCAAAAGCCTTCTGAATTTTCTCTAGGGGAACTGATCTCTGTTGTCTGGAGATCAGTGGTAATACCGGGAAATCCCTAGTCCCCACCGGGAGGTTGGCAACTCTAGATTAGAGCTTGATGGCCACAACCAGAAAGTTAACAGGAGGAGTGTCCCCCTCAAATCTGAAATTTTATTCATTCCCCTTTGAGTCTTGGAACTTCATGTTGAAATCCAAACTGGTGAGTGATCGGATTTGCGGACTTGGACGCTTGCCACTTCCTCCTGTGAAGGCCTGCAGGGGGTGCACTCACCTTGGCACTGTGACCACCCAGTTTCTTGCAGGACACTTCCTCTAACCCCAGTCTTCCAGTTGTGGGATCCATATGGGGGTCAGCAGGCAGGCATACGGGGCAGTTTCATTGTGCCTGTCTTGCAAGTGTAGGCCGGGGGAAACCGTATTATTTAGGCAACATGTACCTGTTGAAAAGGCATAGATCTTGTCAAACCAGCCATCAGTTTCTAGCTCCGGACAATCTCCAGCTTTAAGAAGGGATCATTCAGAACTAATTGAATCATGATTGTCCCATTGCTGTGGGTTAGAAGAGGCCACTAGCACTAAAATGTAAGAGGAAAAGCCCCACGCTTCTACTTCATGCCTTTATTATTTGACTGACAGCTGCAGTCCCAGTATCAGAAAATGAGAGAGGCCAGGGAAAAGCCAGCACATCCGAAGACACCTCCATCCAGCTGGGTGAGATGACCATGGATTGCTTGCTGAGGACAGCAGCCTTAACCCTGAAGGAACTGGAGATACCACGAGAAAGAATCTCCCAGGAGTCACTGGAGTTTATTCAAAATGGCAGTTTTGGGGGAATCTACAGAGCACAACTGGACACCCCCAGTCCTGGGAAAACTCAGCTGGTCGTCTTGAAAATGTTACAAGGTAATGTCCATGACGGGAGGGACAGACGTTTTGGTGACCGGTACAGTTCTAAAACTTTCAGTTTCTCATCTATTCTCTGGCCTTTGATTGGTTTATAGGAGCCTTTTGTGCTGAACTGGCAAAACCCGTCAGCTTAAAACACAGCTGAGTGATGTCCTACAACTGCAATCTCTGTATAGAGCAGGGGTCCCCAATGTGATGGTTGCCTGCCAAGTTTTTAGAAAGCAGGCAGAACCAAGTGGGGCTTTTCCCCAGCAAGGCTGCTGATTGGCCACTGGAGATTTGATTAATTTTTTTTAAGGTTGCTTTGGCAGCATCTGCCACCAAGAAAGAAGGATCTTCGCTGTGTAGCTGAAGGTAAACTAGAGCTGCCATTTTGTGGCTGGCTGCGCCTCTGGTAGCAGCCTTTTTGCGACTGTGCCCGCCATGCTGTATCAGAATTCCAGAGGTGCCCGTGGGCTGGGAAAGGTTGGGGGACCCCTGCAATAGAGAAATGATGGGATATTCCCTGCAGCCTCTGTGCAGTCCTGCCACGGGACTTGTGCAGGTCACAGTGTGAGCTTAATGGGCTTAGTGAGGTGCTTCCTCGCTCCATGAGAGCCAGTTTGGTGTAGTGGTTAGGAGCACAGACCCTAATCCAGGAGAACCAGGTTTGATTCCCCACTCCTCCACATGCAGCTGCTGGAGTGACCTTGGATCCGTCACAAGTTCACCCAGAGCTGTTCTCTCAAGGGCAGTTCTCTCAGAGCTGTCTCAGCCCCACCTGCCTCACAGGGTGTCTATTGTGGGGAGGGGAAAAGGGAAAGGTGATTGTAATCTGCTCTCAGAGCCCTTCGGGTAGTGAAGGGGCGGGGGGTAAATCCAATCTCTTCTTCATTTAGGCAGACACTCACTAGCATATTATGCCACACCCCTGGCAGTGCAGCTCATTAGTATATGGGCCACACCCCATGCCTTCCCTTGGCTTGCCTGGGTGCCCCTTTGGACAAGCCGGCCCTTGGACAGGCTGGGGAAGTCACGGGGAGGCATTTAAATGCCTCCTCGATCCTTCCAGGGCCCCCCTGGAAGACCTGCCTTGGAGTTGCCGGGGGGGCGGTCGCTCTCCAGGCCTTCCCTCTGTAGCCACGCACGCAGAGGTTTTGGCTGTAGTGGGCGTGGTCAACTCTGAAGCCAGCCGGAACTCTGTTCCTGCGCGTTCCTGCCCCAAAATAGCCCTGGCTATGCAGTTTTGTGCCTTGCTGTTATGAGTGAATTTCTTTCCTGCCCTTAGTGGAGCTTCTGGAGGGTTTTCCCTTCAGCTCTAATAATGGAATTGTTTCCCTTCCTTTTTTGTTATGGGAAATAGCTGCTTAGATGGCAGAGTGGTTTTGTTTAAAGAGAAGAAAACACAAGAAGAAAAGAACTGCCTGTTTCTTCTTTCTGATGGCACTTAAGGGGCCCTCTCTCCGCTGGCGAAAATGCCTCAGAGATTCAGTCCTTAAGCGTATTGCAGAGAGCGGGTGCAGTTTGGGTTACTTATGTTGCTCTACGCAGCTCGTATTTCTGCTATCTCAGTGCCCAGAGTTAATGAACTTATAGCGCTCTGTGGTGGTCTACCATACCAAAATTGTTGAGGTATTTTGCCCCACATTTGCCCAATAGCTGCTTTAAACGAGGAACCATCGACTGGATCAAAAGGGCAACTCAGAAGAGATGCCTCTGGATGTGTACAAGGCCGAAATCTTCTCTGGGAGTGAGACAAAGGCCTCGCTTATTCCCAAGGCGGGAAAAGCAACAAATTGAGCCCTAAATGATCAATGAATCATTCGTCCGAGGAATCTGGTGTCAAATGAACACGGGGCATCGGTTGGGCGTAAAAGTGAGTTACCTCAGAGCAAAAGCAGTGTTGTACTAGGGCAGTGATGGCGAACCTTTTAGAGACCGCGTGCCCAAACTGCAACCCAAAACCCACTTATGTATCGGAAAGTGCCAACACGGCAATTTAACCTGAATACTGAGGTGTTACTTTAGAAAGAACAACTCCTAAATTAACTTAAGATGATCCAAACAAAGTAAGGAACGCAATCCCAAATCCTTTCATTTACTTAAAATTATTTGGCAGAGAATTCGACACTTTAATGATGGTCTGGGCCTGGCTGGGGCGATGGCACGCGTGCCCACAGAGAGGGCTCTGAGTGCCACCTCTGGCACCCGTGCCACAGGTTCGCCACCACTGTACTAGGGGAAATAATGTATCACATTGGTAGGGTTCCTGACCCGAATAGCCCCAGGCTAGCCTAATCTTCTCAGATCTCAGAAGGTAAGCGGGGTTGTCCCTGGCTAGTATTTGGATGGGAGATCCCCCACCCACAGAAGACCCAGGGTCATGATGCAGAGGCAGGCAACGGCAAACCACCCCTGCACATCTCTTTCCTTGAAAACTGCAGTGTCGCCATAAGTCCTTATCGGCAAAAAAAAAAATATTATTTTAGGGTTGCCAGGTCTTCCCTGGCCACTGGTGGGGGGGGGAGGGGAAAGCATGATCAGATCCAGGTTGGGAAACTCCTGGAGACTGGGGAGGATGGGGACCTCAGTGGGGTGCAATGCCATAGAGTCCCCCCTCCAAACCATCCATTTTCTCCAGGGGGACTGATCTCTGGAGGTGAGCTGCAATTCCAGGGGATCCCCAGGTCCCACCTGGAGGCTGGCATCCCTGAACATTGGTGGCAGTGTTGTCAGTGAGATCCTGAGTCTTGTGCGCATCTCTCTGCACAGTTGATAGAAAATGAAGACTTGTCGGGATGTGGTTATATCCAGCCGAGACCGTGTAAGACTGTGCTTTCACACATTTGTTGGACAATGCACTCCCAGTGCACTATACTATAGCAGTCATTTGCCACCAGGTCTTCCTGTGTGAAACATGAAAAGATGGTGGCAGATGTTTGTGAAAGCAACGGGTTCCAGTGTGGCTTATAAACACACGGGCACTAGGATCACCAGCTCTGGGTTGGGGAATACCTGGTGATTGAGGGGAGGGGCCAGTAGAGTCCACCCTCCAAAGCAGCCATTTTCTCCAGGGGAGCTGATCTTTGTAATCTGGAGATCAGTTATGATAGCAGGAGATCTGCAGGCCCCACCTGGAGGCTGGAGACCTTAACTGGCACCCAACACTGCCAGCTTAATGGGTCTGTTTTGTTATTTTAAAAGAAGTATCCCAGGCCCGGCTGAATCTGCATAAGGCAATTTTTCGATGTTCTTCACCAATGCCCTCCTAAACCAATTTCTAAAAGAAAGTAGATATACTTTTGCAAAAATGTAGTAGCCCGATGTCTTCCGTGCTCTCTTCTGAGTAGAATGATTTAGTCGCTTCCCGTACCATAGGGCTCCGCAACAAAGAAAATGGAGTTTTCTTCCCAAACCGTAGGATTACACAAAAAAGAAAGCAGAGTCTTTACCTCCAGTGGTGGGAGGGATCCAGGTGTGGATTGTTCCTCCCACGTTGCTCCATAGGTAAAGCTGTGCAAATAGCCCCAAATATAGTCCTATCTGGTAGGAGGGGCTCTCTCAGTCCAAGTCCCGCCCTCTTTGCACCATCCAGGTTGAGGATGTTCTGTTGCTCAGTTGCTTTAGAAAGCCTTTCTTCTCTCCTTTCTCTTGATTAATAATGAGGATAGGAAGAGACTTTAAATGAAGGGGTCGGATCCTCAACGATCCATTAGCAGGAACTGATGGTTGCAAATCTGTCCCTCTCCCCAGCAGTCCCTTCAGATCCCACAAAAGTCTGCTCCTGGGGTTGAGGGGACCCACATGGATTGGAAGGATGCTAATGTTATCACTGGGGAGGGCGGGGTAAAAAGACCTAAATAAATAAATAAATAAAATAAAAGAACTGGGGTAGTTTTGAAGCTGACCAGAGCCAAAGCGATCGTTCTGTTACTTCTGCTAAGGTCCCTAAGAGACCCTCTTTTTTTGTTGTTCTGTTTTTAGAATCTGCCACCTCTCATGAGATGAAAGACTTCCTGGAAAGGATTAAATTCCATCAGTTCCTTGGTCCCCATGAAAACATAGTCAAGTTATTAGGGTGTTCTGTAACCCAGACGCCTCTTTACATGATATTGGAGGACGCTTCTAATGGAAATCTTCTCAACTTCCTCTGGACCTGCCGCAGGGTATGTCTCAGAAAAGAATGATGGGATCAGAGTTGACTGGCTGTCTCGTCCATTTGCCCATTTATGTTGCTTCTCTTGTTTTTCTGCTTCAGTGACCTCGGGAGCGATCCCAAGCATATCTGCTCAGAATCTTATTCAGGGGTATTCAGTGGGGCTTATTCCGAGGGAACCGCACTTAGGACAGCAGTGTTTATCTGTGCCCGTTCTCCATAATAGCTATTCTTGCAAACCACCTTGAGTGTTTTAGGTGGCAAGGCAAGATAAAAAGAAATGACTGAAAAGCAACAAATGCTTTACCATTCACAGACAGGAACTGAGGAATCCGCATGTCAGCTTCTTCCACTGGCATCGACAGCTATCAGGAAGACATAATATTTCTTTTGATTCGTTTTTACTTTACCTTATTTATACCCTGCCTTCCTCCCAAATGGGGTGCAAATCGGCTTACGTTGTTCTCCTCTCCATTTTAGATTCACAACAACCCTGTGAGTTAGCTGAGGCCGAGAGTGTATCACCCAGTGAGCTTCTGTGGCAGAGTGAGGGATTTGGTCCCCCGAGGCCTTGCCTGACACTGTAGACCACAGCTCCATGCTGGCTATGACTGTTTCAGAGCCACTGGTCCCTCCTTTCCCGTCCCTGCCTCAGTTCCTGCCTCATGCATTGCACCCAATCCTGCATTCATTCTGCCAGAGGACTCCAGAGCCATGGATGTACCAGAGGGCAGGTTCTGTGGTGGGGAATTCCCAGGTCCTAGTCTAACACTTTTAACTGCTACCCCACACTGACATAGCAACTAGGGTTGCCAGGTCTTGCCTTCATCCCAGCAGGGGGCTCCAGGCCGGCTCTGGAACTCTTCCGGCGTTTGCGCAGAGCGTGTGCACCACAATGACGTCACCCAGAAGTGACATCATTGTGCTGGGGACGTTGTTCGGGGGATGCTCTAGTATTTGGGTAAAAACTCTGTGGTCACCATAGAGTTTTTACCCGAATGCTAGAGCATCTCCTGAACAATGTGCCCGGCGCCAGGGCTATTTTTGGACAGGAACGCACAGGAACGGAGTTCCGGCTGGCTCCCGAGTTGGCCACGCCCAGCAGGGACTCATTAGCATAATAGGCCACACCCAACAGCAGAAACTCATTAGGATTGGCTACATTAAGGGTGTGTGGCCTAACATGCAAAGGAGTTCCTGCAACAAGAAAAGCCCTGGGTTTTGACAACAAACAAGGTAAACAGAATAAGAAGCAAAAGGTGGGTGTGGCTGGATGACCACACTTCTGGTAACATGGGAATGCGGCCTAATATGCTAATGAG